ATAATTTTGGTTCAAATCGTGTAAATATCTTTAACAATTCATAGATTATTTATAATTTAATAATTTAAAACCAGTAACTTAAAATGCTTAAAATTCTGAATCCATATATTTAAAATCTTAGCTCCACATCATAATTTAAACTAAAAAGATTACTTATTGTTCAGGTGGCGGTCTATAAGACACTTGTATCGGAATTTGCGGTGTTCGACCGGTGGTTCGCGTCGGTGCCGGCGTCGACTCAACCGAACCGGCTCTACGTGCACTCCGCCACATCTCACGGCGCCACCTCAAACAACGCGTCGCTGTTAGCCAAAGGTTACCCGCAGAGAACGATCTTCGAAAACCTCGACGACGCCGGAATTAACTTCGGAATATACTACCAGAATATTCCGGCGACTCTATTCTACCGGAATTTGCGTAAGCTCAAGTACATCGGAAAATTTCATCCCTATGATCTCACATTCAAAAATGATGCTAAATCAGGAAAGTTGCCAGGTAAATGATGTCAAAATATACGTTTTTTATTATATTTTTGAGTATTTAAAGCGGGTAACCAATTAAGGGTCGTTTGGCTGAGAAATAAGTTATCCCAAAATTAATTATTCCAAGATTAGTCATTTTTGGATTGTTATCATCTTCCCATAAGTATAAAGATCAATACTATAATTTTGGGATATAATCCCAAAATTAGTTATACTGTAATTTTATCCCAATCAAATGTGAAATAAATTCATCTCAAATTTAATCGGAAAATTAATTTTCTTTCAATTTTGTTTTAATCAAATGGTTTGAACTAACTTGGATTAAACAAAAGTCATGACTCAATAAATAAAAACAAAATTATCTAATAGAATTCACCATTTTTTTATTATTTTTTTCATTGGTCGATTACTTGATATATAAGGTGATCTGTTACTTTTGCTAGTGGAAAATAGCAGATGTTCCATAAATTAATTGACATGCATGCAGACCCGTAATAATTATGTATTTCTTTGCATTAATAAATAGAATTTAAAATCGTACGAACTAAGAGTCTGTTTGGACATAAGAAAAAAAAAATTCAAAAAAATTTACTTTTTTCCGAAATTAACGTTTGTTCATAAAATTTTCAATTTTCACTTGAAGATGCATTTTGGAAATTTTCGAAAATTTGAAAAACTCCAAAAAGCTATTTTTCAAAATTTTCACTCAAATCACTCATAAAACTTTAAAAACAACCCAAAATTACATTAATATCCAAACATAATTCTAAATTTTAAATACCATTTTCACTTGACGCCCACTAAATTTGACACTCGTAATATTAGGATATGCTGTGGTGGAGCAGAGGTACATGGATTCAAAGCTACAGCCAGCGAACGATGATCACCCATCACACGATGTATATCAAGGACAGATGTTCGTGAAGGAGGTGTACGAAACCCTAAGGGCGAGCCCACAGTGGAACCAGACCCTTCTCGTGATCACCTACGACGAGCACGGAGGATTCTTCGATCATGTCCCTACACCTGTCAATGGGGTCCCTAACCCTGATGGAATTATAGGAGAACCGTTCGATTTCAAGTTTGATAGATTAGGTGTTAGAGTTCCTACTATTATGATCTCTCCTTGGATCGAAAAGGGCACAGGTATGAGCGCACCTTTAACTCTTTCCTATATATTCGTCTAATTTTCACACAATTTAAAAGAGTTAGCTATTCATAATAAATGAAATTTGTAGAAAATAAAAAGCAAATAACATGTTTGAAGTGTTAAATTACAGATAGTGTAAATATTATTTAATTAAGTTGTTTGTGTATAAGTTAAATCTGAAGAAAATGATAGAATTCTATTGCTAATTTCTTATTTTGTAAATAAAATCTCCCTTACTTTTAATTTGTGTCTCACTAAAACAGACGACAATTAGATCGAATTAATTTCCACTAAAATAGAGAATACCGCCGAATTGCATGACATTTGAAGTCACTTAGTTCCCATTGCAGCTATCCAACGGTTTAGTACCTTGAATAATTATAGTTGTAATTTTACCTATAACCATGTTATTTTTTAAGTTATTTATTCCACCTGTTAGCTTTAGTTATTTTTTGAAAGATCTGATTTACAGTAGCGAAGCCCGAAATTTTCTCAAGAATGTTCAAATTTAAAAGAAGTAAAAAAAAAAAAAAAAAGTCTCCGACAAAGGGTGTTCAGTATATTTAAAACCTAATATTTGACATATATATGCAGTATAAATTTTCGGACCACCCTTTAAGATATGTAGCTTCGCCCCTGTAGATATATAAAAATTATTCTCTAACATACTTAAAAGTATGACCTAGTAGTCAATGAAGTGGGTTAAGAACTATGAGATCGCATATTTAAGATCCAACGAAAAGACAAAAAACACTAGGACATTTCTTCTCATCTGTCTAAGCCTTGTTGGACAGAGTTATTCAATACTTATATTGGTAGCAGATATTCTTATAATTAGTCGAGATACACACAAATTGACTCGAACACATCAGTATATAGATTTATACTTAATACTCCAATTGAATTTGCTGTTAACAAGTGATAGCTTATCTATGTGGCAACAAGTCACATCTCACTTGTTGGATCTCTCATTTCATAACTACTTTTATTAATGGTGTGAAATGCTTTTAAATCTAAACTAATTGCTGCCCATCCATCCTACTTTTTATGTGATGTAACATGTGAATATAAAGATGAGTTTACTGATTTTTTCTGAAAAAAATATGTGCAAAAGTGGTCCTTTTCACACGCGAAGGACACTCCTTTTTTGTCTCGAATAATCTTTTTTTTTAATCGTTTTAATTTTCTTGTCCAATAAATTTCTTTTAATGTCATAATTATTAATTTACGCTGCTATAATCTGACAATATACACACATTTCTTACATACGGAGAAGGGTCAAATATATCCCTATACTATGAGAAAATGTTTAAATATATCCTTCCTTATATTTTCAGTCCAAATATACCCCCGAGGTTATACTATTGGTTTAAATAAAGAGAATGGATAAAATGGGTTAGGGGCGCTGCTGAGGTGGCATGCTACATGACATCCACCTCATCAAAGTGCCATGTAGAATTGGATGTCCACTTTCGACAAACTTAACGGATGAAGGGTATATTTAAATCAATAGTATAACGTCATGGACGTATTTGGACGACGGAAAGTATAACGAGGGGAATATTTAAACTTTTTCTCATAGTACAGGGATATATTTGGCCCTTCGCCATTTCTTATTGTACTATATATTAGTTTGACAATATATAAATTTCTAGATCTTAAGATTTATAACATTTATTATGATGGTAGCAATATATAAATACTGCCATGTAAGTACGTACAATGATTCATATTTTGAGTTACTCTGGCGTGTGCTATACTATTTTTTTCTTTCTTTACCTTATTAAGACGAGTCTGTATACAACAAGAAAAAGTATTACTACTACTATTAATAATAATAATAATAATAATAATAATAATAATAATAATAATAATAATAATAATAATAATAATAATAATAATAATAATAATAAGACCATCTTTTTCCCCTACTTTGGCATTTTAATAATTAATAATACTATTGAATCAATTCCCTCAAACATACGTTAAAGCCAACTTGAATTTGACATGACAAATTTATTTATTTTTGATTTTATTTGCAGTTGTTCATGGTCCTAATGGATCGCCGTTTCCGACGTCGGAATATGAACATTCATCGATTCCGGCGACGGTGAAGAAGATATTTGATTTGCCATCACCTTTTCTTACTAAAAGGGATGAATGGGCTGGCACTTTTGAACACATTCTACAAACTAGGAAGGAGCCCAGAATTGATTGCCCTGGTTAGTCATCTCAACTTCAAATACTTTATATTGACATTTAATTTCCAAAAAAAGAAAAACAATAACAACATTAAGATAAGATAGATTTTGTATAAGAGAGAAGTATTTAATTCAGTGGCGGATGTAGTATGTCAGCACCACATGATGTGTGTGTTAAGCGCACGTCACGTGTTCGAATCTTGTTGCGGACAAAGTATGATACTTAAGTTGGGAGGAGGGAAGAGGGGCAGGTGCTTATCACCAACCATAGATTATAAAATCAGTGACGAAGCCAGAATTTTCATTAAGGGATATCAAATTATGTAAAAGTAACCATACGAAAAGATCTAGGGGAGTCAACATAAAGTATATATGTATATAAATAAATATACCTACCTATGTATTTTTCAGACGATGAGGTGTCAATTGACACCCCTTATTTATAAGGTGGCTCCGCCATTGTGTGAAACTAGGTGGACGCAATAGGGGTTTCACTTGAATCCCCTTCATCGGGATATCATATTGTGCAAGTAAATATGTTTACTTGTATATAATATCTGCTCCGCATATCTGACTCAATTTCTCAAGTAGCTTCCTCACTCGGTTGTCCTTTCCAAAGTACCTTCCACATAACCTTGCTTTGTCTTATAACAAAATCTTGGTTACTCAACATTATATAACCTAACTTTGTGTTCTCTTTGAAATTTTCCACAGAGAAACTTCCAACTCCAACAAAGATCAGAAAAGCAGAAGCAAATGAAGATGCAAACATAAGTGAATTCCAACAAGAATTAGTGCAACTCGCAGCGGTTCTAAAAGGCGATAATCTCCTAACAAGTTACCCAGAAAAGATAGGCAAGAAAATGACTGTAAGAGAAGGCAAAGCTTATATGGAAGACGCCGTAAAACGCTTCTTTGAAGCTGGATTTTCTGCCAAGAAAATTGGTGTTGATGAAGAGCAGATTGTGCAAATGAGGCCTTCTCTCACTACAAGATCATCTACTAATTTGCACCCTTAAAGATGTAAGAAATATTCAAACGAAATGTACAAATACACTAAGACATGGTAATTATATGGTAAAAAGCTGAATTATATTACTCCTGTTACAATTATAAGTGTTGAAGCTTATGTTACTCAGACTCTTCGAAAATATCAGTAGGTGTGTCGGATCCTCCAAAAGTAGTATATTTTTTAAAGATCCAACACGGGTGCAACAACATTTTGGATAGCCCCGCAACATAGGCTAAAAGTACCTACTTCAAGTTCCAACTAATGATGGAATCATAGGAGAAGCAACGCTTCTGTTTATTGCTATTTACTAACATCTTCAACAGCCAAATTGTGTACAAAATATCTGAATATTGAAGCCAAAAACAAGGCCATTTGGTTAATAGAATGAATGTATAAAGACGAATACAGAGCCTCCAGAAATGCAGACACCAAACGTATAACCAACATTAATCTGTGAATAGTCGCCTCCAAGGTGCTTGTTCCTAGAGGAAAAAACGCTTCTTTGGTAGCCGCTTAGGGAAACTTCCGCACTTGATAACTCACAATTCCTCCATAATCGTGTTACCTTCACTTAGGGAGCAGCTGATCGATTGCAAAAAGATATCCACCTACAACCACAAAGGACGCGAGTCCACTGCGTGCCATCCTCAATCCCAAGCCCCGAAATAAGATATTCCTATCCGCAGGGTGGATCCCGGTCCATCTCTCAAATCTCTTCCCAGGCAGTTGCCATTTAAGAAACCTCCTCTCCACAGATACAAACTGCACATAAAGAGTAAAGAAAAGAGGATAATCCACAAAGCCTGCACCCATAGGGAAAAAGAGAGTACCAAATGTTCCCACAAGTACCATAATAACAACCAAGAAACCCATGTTTTATACATCTAGTAACATTGAAAACCCGAGAACAACAGGTCAAAAGTAGTTGAAGCATTCACTTAGTACGATTATAGCCGCTACAGGACTTGATGTAACAGATGCTTCAATTATATGGTTGCAAATATACATGCTCATTTACAGACCCCCGAAATGCATATCGTAAGGGGGAAATGGGCACGAAAAATTCACCTACAGAAGATGTAATGTGCAAAAGACCTATCAAAGTCTCATGATTTTGCACAGGAGCCGTAATTGCCACAGTATGAACAAAAGCACGTTTAACATTAACCAATGAATTCATGTCAGATCCTGGCAGAGTAGCAGCATTTGAGAAAAGCTATACCCCCAAATATAGATGACTTAGAAATTACTTCAGACTTGAATAGAGCGAAATGGGTAATTCGCATTCATATAGCTGTTGACATTGTACAACCTCCCCCCC